CGCATGTGGCGAGACAAGGTGGGAACATTGTTATGCACGTGTGGCGAGACAAGGCGGGCACTTACTTTATTATTGCACACGTGGCGAAAGTGGGTTATGTGAGGGATGGATTTGTGATGATTCGTGATGGCCTGGGGGCATTCTTGTTGTTGATATTTGTGTAGTGGACTTACCCGCGTGGGCTTTATCTTGTGAAAGCTGTGAGAAAATATTCTACGTGTTGTCCGTTCTTTTTCCTTATGCTTATTTGTTGGTATGGACTATGTTAGGACACTTGCACAAGCATACACGTAGTTAAGCACTCTTATTGGATAAGAGGTTTTCTTGATATTGTTGAGCATAGATGCTCACCCTTGTTTACTTGCCTTCTATGTGAGAATGGCTCTATTGGCACGTGAGTCATTAGTGCGGTTATGAGGTGTTATGAAGGCACAGGATGCCAAGTATTAGGGTTCAGGTATTGAGACCCGTGAGTTGTGATTTGTCCGAGATTCTAGAGTTTGTTGACTAAAACCTGATGTAAAAGCGGTTGTAGTTGTTGAGTTATTACTTGTCCCTGTTGTATTTGTGATTCCGGATTTAGGTTGTGTTCCATTCACTTTTCTGTGTCATTTTTATGGTATTTTGTTGATACTTGTTGTTTCTTTTCTTATTGAAATTACTGTATTGTGAGCCATATTGCATAGTCTTTATGTAGATATCATATTTCTGTTGTTCCTATACATATACTTGTTCAGTTTATTAGACGAGTGGGTGTTTTGAGTGTTCCTCGTCACTACTCCACCGAGGTTAGTCTTGATACTTATTGAGCACCGCTGTGGTGTGCTCATTCTACACTTCTGCACATTTTTGTGCAGATCTAGGTATTTGTTCGTCAGTAGCTGGGTCGTTGTTGTGGAGACTCAAGGTAAACCTACTGGTGCGTTCGCAGGCTTCAGAGTCACCTTCAAGTTTTCGTTTTGCACTGTTTATTCTTATTTCTGGACAGTTGTATTTGAAAGTTTTCTAGCAAACACTCTGTAGAGCTTATGACTTGCACTACCGGTTTTGGGAATTGTAAATTTTAAGAGATTTCTATTTCAAATTGTCATATGTTATTTAAATAATGTTGTTGTCTCAATTAATGTTAGGCTTACCTAGTCCCTAAGACTAGGTGCCATTACGATACCCAAACGAAGGGAAATTTGGGTCGTGACAATGGAGTAGAGAGGCTGTTTCTGATAGACCTTCGGCTTAAGAAAACGAAAAAGACAAAAGAGAATATATCAGTACCATCAACAGAAACCATAGAAATAATAAATCATTATAAGAAACCAAAAAATAGTTGAAACGCAATATAATAACCAGTAAAGAAAAACAGGTGAATAGCGAGAACACAACATAAACCACTAGAAATCTAAGACAATCCTATCAGTCTATCCCCGCACCCGGAACGAAGTAGAAAAAATGCTCAATTACCTCATAATCTACAACCCTAATGCTCGATCTCCACACCTTCCTATCAAGGGCCATGTCCTCGGAAATCTGAAGCCTCGCCATGTCTTGCCTGATCACCTCTCCCCAATACTTCTTAGGCCGCGTTCTACCTCTTCTCGTTCCCACCAAAGCCAACCGCTCACACCTTCTTACCGGGGCATCAGGGCTCCTCCTACGCACGTGCCCAAACCATCTAAGTCTCGCTGCCCGCATCTTGTCATCTATAGGAGTCACGCCCACCTTCTCTCGAATATCTTCATTCCTAATCTTATTCATCCAAGTGTTCCCACACATCCACCTCAGTATCCTCATCTCTGCTACTTTCATCTTCTGTATATGTGAGTTCTTAACCGGCCAACACTCTACCCCATACAACATGGCCGGTCTAACCACCGCTCTATAAAACTTACCTTTGAGTATCAATGACACTTTTTTGTCACACAGGACTCCAGATACTAACCTCCATTTCATCCAACCCAACCCTATACGGTGTATCAAAAAATATCATGCTACAAATAAAAGAAGAAAACATGAATAATAAAGGAGACAAAAAACTGGCAGAGAGGAAACATTGCATATAATATAAATAAGCATATCACAACAGGTTAAAGGATATAATAATATTACAAACTCTCATTGTTCCTCCAGCGTTATATATGATATACAAAAAAATTAGAAGCTACTCTTAAGCAACAAACTCAAGGTTCAAGGAAATAGTTCGTACCAAATAGTGTTCTATAGAGCTCTCCCATTTCCTTGACATCTTGTTAATTTTTTCCATTTTCCAAAACTTTCCCTAGCATCAACACTTCTCTTTCTTTCTATTTGTTGTTAGTTTCTTTATCTTTAACTTTTTTTTTGATTACTCATATTGAAAATATTTCAACACTATCAGCTGTATTTAGATTTTAGTACAACCAATATAAACACTTGAAACAGAAGCTTCGGAATAATATTAGATCAAATGCCAAAGTTACGTATATAAAAGTTTCAGCAGGAAAATATATAAAAGTTACATATACCAGCCTCTTGCAACGCAACTTATGAATAGCGCAACGGGCATAATACATATGTCACCTACATTTGTATAGTCCATAGTCCTGAAATCACCTCAATGGCCCTACGAGAACAAATGCATGATATATTGGCCCCGCCAAACAGGTAGAATAAAGAAACAAAAATCTCAATAATTTGCTAATAGAGGAGGAACAAAAATACTTAGCACCACATACCAATATCTTATCACTCCCAAAATCACAAAGTGCTAGCTCATGTGTGTGAGGAATTAATCCACAAAAACAATATAAGCCACAAACAATCAGAGCCGAAAGGCAAGAAGTGAAGTGATAGAAAAACATATGTTATCAGACAATCAACCATGCAAGTCTATTTAACCAAATATGGTTAACTATATTTTACAGCTTAATATAATCTTGAAAATGTACTTTTGAGACTGAAATTTTATAACACTCTAATCAATATTCTTAAAGCATGACACTTCTAATATACACATGAACAAATGAATAGTTCTAAAATGAGATACAAAAGGATGGAAGGAAAATTAGTATAGTGAACAAAATGTTTAGTAGCACGAACACTCCTAAGAAGCGGTTGACTCATAAAGCAGAATATTCGCCTTCAAGTGCAAACAAAATAATTTTAAGGAAAAAATTCAACTCAAGCAACAAATTTGTACAGTAGAATCAAGATTTCTTCGAAATAATTCAACTACATGAACATAATTTTTAAGAAATCAACTTATATTCATCTTTTAAAAGAGAAGATCAAATCATTGATAAAACTCAAAGCAACATTGAGAATTTATTTAAGAAGCAATCAAATCTCAAGCAAATATGTTCACTAAAATCAATATTTTGGCAAAAAACAAGTCAACTAAGCTTAATCTTCAAGGAAAAATCAACTGAAGTTCATCTTCTTCAAAATAAAACATCAAATATAATGACAAACTATTCAGTTTAATTAAAATCTCATAAAAATAACAAAGACAAAATAATAACTTTAAAGAAAAGAAAAACCCAGTTCAAGAATATTGGGGCGATGCAAGTAAAATTGCTTGATTGCGAGGAAAAAACAACACACGAGCAAATCAGACAAAATTACCAACATGCACGAAGAAATTCCAACAAAAACAACCCAAAAGAAGAGAAAAGCTACCAGATACCCATAAAAGTCCAATTAGGAAAAATATGTATGCATTTGCCAAATTAAGATTAGAGGAATAATCACAAGAATGGAAAAATACAGCACAACCCGGAGATAGCTTTAAACCCAAACAGAAAATATTAAAAAAGAACAATGCGAAAGACGCAGAGAGGAGCAAAAGGGAAGGAAGAGGATCACAAGTAAGAGACCGTTGATTTTGGATTTTACAAAGAGAGTGTTGATTTTGGATTTTGAATTAAGTGAGCGTGTGGGAAATAGAAACGAAGAGGAAGAGATAGAATTAGGTGATGGCACACGTGGTATGATGGAGAAAAGAAGTATAAGACACATATGTAAATGTGAAACATATCTTATTTTTTTATTTTTAATTCTCTTAGGTGTAAAATAGATTTATTTTAGGAGATTTAATATAAAACTTAAAAAAAATAAACCAATTAACCTAAGTTGTATTGGTGGATACCAAAAATTATTAAGTTACTTTCTTAGACATACATGAGTAATAAATTCAAGCATAACTAAGACTCAAAAGTAGTAAATTTATTTGCTTCAGCATAAATTAACTTGATAAAAAAGAAAGTAATGTTGTACAAGAAAAAAGGAAACAAATAATGACCGAGTTCAAAATAACCCCTGCCTTTTTCCGAATTTCCGTTTAAGCCACTGTAGCACACAGTTCGCGTTGCTCAATAAACTCACCTCCCCTGAACTATCTCCCGCCAGTTTTCTTCATTTCTCACAATTCATTCCGATTAACTTTCCAAATCTCTCTCTCTCTCTCTCTCTCTCTCTAAACTCTCAGTTCTCTCTCTACAGAAACAATGGTGAGTTTGGCAGAGATATCATCGTTTAATGCATTTAGTACCACGCTATTCGAATTTTGACTCATTTTGATTTCATTCACATATAATTGTCAGATTAATTTTCTATCGGATTTTCAGGTTACTGCTCAGAAAGTGAAGGAATCAGAAAAAACCCTGTTAACTTCATCCTCTGCAACCGCTGAAGTAGAAATGACAGAATTGCTTGATTCGCCCTCCTCTGAAACCGATGAAGAAGAAGAAACGAGAGAATTGGTTATTGATATTGAGCCACCACCACGCTCCTCTGAACTGATCAATGAAGAAGAAAGGAAACGAGTATTTTTCGAAAAAATAAAGGCTGGAGACATTGCGTCAGTGAGAAAGATTATCAAGAAATACCCTAGCTATTGTACTACTAAGGATGAGTTCGAAAGGTATCCTATTGTTACTGCCCTTATTGATGATGGGGGAGAAGATATGATGCGTTTGTTGATTCGGTCATGCCCAGAGTCTCTTCATTTCAAGACTCCTTCTGGTGAAACTTTGCTTCACTGGTCACTCCGTCAAGAAAAATGGAACTGCTTCAGTTTACTATGCAAGACGCATCACAGGCGAAAAGATCGCCACATTCTCGATATGCCTGCCCGCCAAACTGGCGAAACTTACCGTGAAATTGCTGTACAGCGTCGTTTCCTTAAGGTCCCTCTCTCTCTCTCTCTCTCCCTCTCTCTATATATGCATATAACACTGTAAAAGATTGTTTTGCACTGTTAATTCTGTAGAATGAAAGCAATTTTCTTAGACAATGTTATGACCTTAGTCACACAAAACAGAATTAACAACTAAAATGGAAATTTCAAGAGTTTTGGGACGATTTTCTACAATTATTAGGGCCATTTAATTTGAACATAAGTTATACATATATTATAATACAAGAATTTGTAATGCAAGGATTAAAACTACAGGGATTGTAATGGGGAGATTATTTTGCTAGAATTTCAAGTAGAAGGATCGTGTCACAGGACGATGAACAGTAAAATCTAAATCTATTGGCTTCGACTTTCTGCGCTTGTTCGAATTCTTAGATGGACCTATTTTGATTTAAAATTCAGCTGGTTAAAGGAAAGAATTGTGGTCTCTTTTTTTGTTTGAAATATGACTTAGGGTTTTATTCCTCAAATCCCCCTTTAGATAGGGAGTCTTATTACAGCAGTAGAAAGCCTAATCCTGAAGCAACTAGAAAACATAGATTGAGATCAGATCTGATCTTTGACATTCCATTATTACATATGATTAGCAGGTCAGGCAATTGGCTTTGGAATCAATGTTAGATCACTAGCTAGATAGCTACTTCACCTTCAAAAGCAGTCAATATAAGGAATCAAATATTAGATCATTAGCTAGATAGCTACTTGCCCGAGATAAAGATTCTTTAAGGCTAAGAATACGACTTCGAGAGGGACGAGCATACATTGTATGCAAAGCAGTCCATACATCAGAAGTGTCAGCAGTATTCACAAGTGGAAGAACTTCTGTAGAAAGAGAGGCAATAATTGCACTTCTTAACAATTGATCTTGACGATACCAATAGTCAGATCGAATTTGCTGTGTAGATGGCTGTGCGGTAACAACCTGTGTGAATCCATATCCAATAAGAATGGAGCGCCATTGTGAATTCCAAGTTTTATAATTCGATGGCGTGAGTTTAATGGAGGCCTGAAGTGAGGGTGTAATATTAATCAAGGATGACTGAGAAGATGAACTTGTGTTTGGTTGAGAAGGGACAGTGAGTGAGGGGATTGGGTTTATTATCTGAGGAGAAAAAGAAGTAGACGTAGATGCTGGATATGGAGTCTGTAAAGACGGGAGAGAAGGAAGGGTCTGATTAACAGAAGGTTCCATCAAATAATTTGTAGAAAGGTAGAAGGAGCAGCCATGTGAAAAGGTGACATGGATGTTGCAGGTAGAGAACCCAAAGATGGGTGAAACAACGAAGAGTTGATAGCAGATCCTGCGGGATTTAAAGTAGACGACATAGTAGTTGCAGCCACTGACAAAGGATGAGTGCCAACCAGAAGTGACGGAAGGTGTCCGACGCTATGAGATGCATCGGCTGTAGTGATGTCAGTCATGAAGGGAGGAGTTATTGGTGCTATAGCAGAACTGGTAGTTGGAATCAAAGGTGAGGAAGATTAGGTAGATTTTCCTTCAGCATCCATGGGGCGTCAAAATAATGGTGGATAGTTGCGCCGTTAGGCAGTATAGTCCTGATACCATAAAAGAGTTGTATAGAACTCTGAAAAGCTAATGTTATTGATGAACTAATGTGTATATATACATGAGAATCCTCTGCCAACAAGGGACTGGTAGATCCTAAGAATGAGCCTAACTTAGTGTATTTGATATCTAAACTGATAAGGATAAGTATTGCAATATATATCTCCTTAATAAAAGCAGTCAATATAGATGCTGCTGGACAGAATCACATAATTCCTGCAAATGTGAAATACATCAGATCCACAAAATCTAAGTTTAATAGAGATAATAATTCACAAACAACCATGATATCTAAAGTACCTGATTCTTTAAGCAAGTAGAAGAACAGCAAAAGTCTTTACTCTGCAAAGTTGAGCTGTTTTCCAGCAGCTGCCAATTGTAGACTTGTAGTAATGGGACGGAAAGGAAGAGTACAAGACAGGATTCCCATGGTAATATTTTCATGATCAAACACATGTAGGAGCCAAAAAACATAGATACTGAGATCTGAGGCCACGGTTTAAATGGAAAACTGCGTAAAATGGAGATAACAAAAGGTAATGATGCTACGAAAGCTGTTGAGTTGAATAATATGAATGATGAAGTGACAGACGATTCTCTTTTATCTTGGACTATTCGACCTGTATCATAGTCATAGATGTAACTAGCCTTGGCAATGAAGCACGGGAAATGACACGCTGCTATAAGCGTTACAACAGCAAATAGAGTAGCCGCAGGCAGTAGAACATATTCTATCTTCACTTTGAGGGCAGCATCGGTGTTTAATTGTGATCTCCCCTTCTCAGTCCCAGAAGAATGTACTGCAGAGCAGTTTCTGTCATTCTTTGCTATGTCTTTGAACTTGCCAACTCCAGCCTGCTTAGGGATCTTGTCTTCTCTCGTGTTACTATAACTAAAAAGACGTAGATGGCACAGCCTGCTTAAGCATGCTCTGAAAGAACTGATGCCCGAAAACTTGGTGACTTCTGGATAACCAACAGATGCCAGCAACTTCTGCATCGATACAAATGGTAAACATGAGTAACCCAATTTTCACGAGAGATGCAGTATTGGGTTCTGTGGGCAAGTTGAAACACCAGTTCCACATTCTGAATTTCATTAAATTATGGTAGTAACAAAAGCAAAGCATAACTATATCATACTACGAATGTTGACTGAAACAGCAGGCTTCATCCTGCGTTTACTGTTAAGATGTGTTTGCATTTGTTTTAAAAGCTTCTACTAATTAGATATCAGAAATAGTTGTTGGATCCACTGTGCCTGATGTTTTTCCTTTGCCTAGTCCATTGCTTCTTTCTAAAAGGTTGTCATGTCCATGGAGTTCCGTTATGACTAATATTCTTTGTTAATCCACCTGCGTCCCAGGTTTCTTGATTATTTGTATTTCTCTTTATAGGAAGAAATTGTTTAGTGAATGCATTACATTATGACAACAAGAATAATTTAGATATTAGAATGTGCTTATAGTGGAAAAGAATGGTTGTTTATTACTATACCTGATGTGATTATGATTCATTAACATCTTGCTTCTGTTCTCTAGTTGTTGACTTGAAGCGACTTCTGTTCTAGTTGGAGAAACTTCTCTAGTTGTAAACTCAAATTTTATTTCTTCCACTTTAATGCAGCCTTGTGATAAAGTTGGCCGAAGCACTACAAGAACAATTTCGAATGTATCCGAGGAGAATTCTGCAAGAACACCGAATGAGCCAACGGTATGGTCTGCGGCTTTAACAATGATGGTGCTAATTGCAGGTGGGTCTTTTGCAGCTCCACTTAGCTATCACGGTTTGTATCCAGTTTTAGCTGCGGATCAAGGGAAGATTGTTAATCTCAGCATGCATGATTTGTTTACATATCCAAGTGCCATTATGGACGGGTTTCTTTTCTTTACTACAATCACGGTTGCTTTCATATCAGCCATGCTAGGCATTTTGGTTGCAGTTTGCATGATATTTAGGAGACGGGAGTGGGGGACTGCCTTGGCAGTTTTTACCTTTTTTGTCATAACATCCATGTTAGTAAGCTTTTGCAGTACACTAAATAAGCTCTTTCCCCGTGTCGTAAGAATAGATGGCGTGCATGTGGAATTCCCAGGAGGTGTAAGAATAGATGGAGTGCATGTGGAATTCCCAGGAGGTGTAAGAATAGATGGAGTGCATGTGGAATTCCCAGCAGGTTCTGTTTTGGTGTTCTACAGTGTGTACGTTATTATTCTTGCCAGTACATTAGCACTTATTGCCCAGAGGATCCGTGGAGCTTTGTAGTAGAAGGGTAAAAGTTCAACATGATTGACACTTTAGTTTAGTGTAGTCTCAGCCTAATAGTTGCACCATTATTTGGAGCCGGTCATTGTTTTGGGATATTAGAGAAATCTTGTGAAGTATATGCTGCTATGCTATATTGCTATGGTTATGAGTGCCTTTTCCCATGTGATGCTTAAATGGCTTATATCTTTGACATGCTATGGCTCTTTTAATACTTCTATTATGTTAGCTGCTTCCGTTCCGCTGTGATTTTTCTCTTTCTTTTCTTTTGTTTAAGATAAATCACTTTTGTGTGCTATGTTGGACTTTTGTCTTCTTTAACACTGAATCATCGACCAATGTAATTGGGTTGATATACATCTGAATCAGTTACATATAATTTCTTAAGATGTTGACAATTCCTTACAATATTGTCTTCTCATTTTCTCTTCCCTTGCTAGGCTTCTTGAAGGAATTACTGCTACAGAGGTGGAATTCTTCCATAATTCAATTAGTGAATGTTATAGTACAATAAAATACTTCTTTATCCCAACTATATTTATTTTCCGAAAGTTGTGAGTATAATTGGCTCATTCATATGTAGTTCCTTCTAATATCCTTTTCCCGTAGCTCGATCTTCCTTCACTTGGCTAAAGAAATACCACTGGTTTTTGCTCCACAAAGCCTTCTCTAATCATTCCAACATATGCAAAATAGGTAAAATTATAATAAATCAGTCCACAAAATTAGCCCCATAACTTTTAGTTAATTAAGGGACAAAAGAAAATATAAAGTACTAATAATATGGAGAAATACAATCATATCATCGAGTTCACATGGATCAGAAGAAGAAAAATTAAGATCAGGAATATTGATGGTTGGGGTAGAATAGTCACGTCAGTTTTTCGGCCAAAATAACATATTTCGATCACTTTTGTACTTTTGTTAACTACGCTATAAAAACATGATTTTTAAGTTATAAAAAAAATAACTTTAATTTTGTATTGCAATTTGCAAAGGTCAATCATTGAACTGCTTATTCCAGATAAGTATCAAGTAAACAATTGATCAGTGAAAACTTTTGCATGAATTCGGGAGACAAGTTCAATCAGTCTAATATAATAAACCAAAAGCTATTAGCTTTAATATTCGGAATGCGTCCAAAACCAGATTATTTCCAAAGAAAAACAGTACTCGTACACAATCTGTAAATACAGGGGCGGATCTACCTTATGAGGTAGGGGTATCACGGCACCCGCTCGCTTTGTTAAAATTCTTACTGTGTACATAATATTTCTGTGAAAGAAACGTATAAATGGATAAAGTGGCATGCAAAAGTCACAAAGTGTCATTCGTTCAGCCTTCCCTTTGAAGGTTTACTTACTAAGTCTCTCTTCTTTATTTTTTTAACTTTCGGTCCTCATTTTGTTTTTATCATTATACATTACTTTATGAACAATTATTTTCTATAGGTAATTTGAATTGATTTTAGTTAGCATATAATTTTTTTATTTTTAATGAAACGATATTAATTTATATATTGAAATATAATTTGAGCAATATCTTCTATTGGGTTTTGAAGAAAAAATTAAATGGCTTGATTGATAGTCGTTTTGAGTAGAATATTATAAGTTGAATGTTGAAGGATTTTTTAAAAAAATAATTGTCATATAACTCAACAGTTAAGATGGAAAAATAAACAAAGAACAATACAAGTAAATTAATCTAGTCAAACAAAGAATATATAGTGTAGTTAAGGTACTCTTTAAGCAAATCTTTATATTGGAAGCGCTCTTTCATGAAATTTTGTTTTTCTTTTGCATTTTTATTTAGAATGTGTTTAAATTAATCGTTAAATTTTTTAACTAAAATCGAACTTATTTGCCTCTGGTAAAAATTTGAACTAAAATCGACCCATTATTCCTAATCTGCCTTTGTAGCTACTCACATGTATATTGTATGCATAACACGGTGGCACCCGCAACCTTCGAATCCTGGATCCGCCTCTGGGTAAAAGCAAAAATAATTAGCGATGAATTATCACTGGAACTACATCAAGTTAATTTACTCGGCTGATATACAAGAAAGATAAATTACTCAGCTGATTTCTCTTAAAATCTTTCGTAACCTAATTATCGTACTCCTTGAATATAGTTTTGGCGTGGCAAGCAGTATTTTTTAAGAATGGTATTTTGTCCACGCGAAGCTTCACGCACTATCTTACTTTGCCAAGTAGAATCAATCCAGTTCCCTGCTAAAATGTTTGAGGGTTAATACTCTGCTCCACTTCCTGGGTTATTTATTATCTTAAATTGAAAATTCCAGATCAGCGCCTCCCTCAGAGCTCCATGGGAATTAGAACTTTGTCTAAAATCCATATTCAGATAAGAATTGGTTAAATTTAATGTTTTCGTATTGATCACCTT